CGGCACAGCGGGGGCGGGGGTCCTGACTGTGATGCGTGTCCCCGCTGGATTGGGGATCTTTACGGGGCACCTCTTGGGGGGATGCCACACGTTTTCACGGGGTTTCAAAGGGTCCAAAGGCCCCGCGCGGAGACGCCCCAGCGTCTGGTAAGCCCTGGGGGTGGGGCGCTCTGCGATGGGTGTCCTTTCCGCTCCCTGTCCTTAATCTCAGACCCTCTCGGTGGGTGGAGCCCCCATGTCCGGCCGGCTTCCCAGAGAGGCTGCGCCTGGGAGCGCAGCGGGGGCTCAGGTGGTCCCTGAGGGGGGGGTGTCAGCATGGGTGCTCTGGCCCCTCCCGCAGGGCGAGGGTAGGTCTGAGTCAGTGTTTGGGTGACCACACCCTGGCCTCCCAGGGGGGGTGGTTCCCTCTCGCTCACATGGTCTGGGCAGTGGGCAGACAGACTCCGCGCCCTCGACCCAGTTTCATCAGGCCGGTGTTTGGGGACCTTGTGTGCTGGGTGTCACTCCCCGCTGCCCTGCCCCCTGACCGTGGGCCCGGATCCAGCGGGATGGGAGGGGCAGCCCCCTCAGCAAGGCCGGGCAGTGCCAGGCTCCACGCAGACACCAGCGGAGACCTCTCAGGACGGGGGGTGTGTGTGTGTGTGTGCGTGTGTGTGTGCGTGTGCGAGTGAGCCGAGTTCTCAGGAAGCCGGGTTTCGGGGAACCAGGACCTCGCGTGGGGCTGTCATCCTGTGGGCAGGGCGTTCTCACGGGCAGTTCAAATCGCATCCTTTTCTGGGCTTTCCATGCTGTTGAATGAGCCCAGATCCCTGCCCTGCCCCAGGCACTGCCCTGCCCATCTCAGCCAGGCTGGCCGCCCACCAGGCCTCGGGCCTCTTCAGGCTGCAGCTGGTCCCTGGGGAGGTTTTAGGCCCTGTGATCTGCTCCCATTGCCTGGTGTCCCGGCTTCCCCGTGGCTCACCCAGGGTGGTGGAGGGTGTACCGTGCCTGCCCAGAGTCCCGGGCCTCAGAGGGGGTCACAGCACTGACAGGGTGTCAGGTCCGCACCCCACCTGTAAGTCCCGGGCTGGGCAATCGTGTCTGGTGCCCGGGAGAGCTGCTGTGGGACTGCAGGCACCTGTCCCTCCCACCCAGCTGCCTCAGGGCGTGAGGCCTAGGTCCTGGCCACTTGGGGTGGAGCCCCCATGTCCGGCCGGCTTCCCAGAGAGGCTGCGCCTGGGAGCGCAGCGGGGGCTCAGGTGGTCCCTGAGGGGGGGGTGTCAGCATGGGTGCTCTGGCCCCTCCCGCAGGGCGAGGGTAGGTCTGAGTCAGTGTTTGGGTGACCACACCCTGGCCTCCCAGGGGGGGTGGTTCCCTCTCGCTCACATGGTCTGGGCAGTGGGCAGACAGACTCCTGGCTCCTCTGTGTGACAGCAGTTGGGTGACCCGGCCAGCTTAGAGGGGAAAGCTGGCCGAGCAGGCAGGCGGGCAGGTAGGGTTTCCACAGCACTGCATGGATTGCCAGTCCTGTGCCCCCCACCCCGTCCCCCCCGCCGGGGTCCCCCTGCTGTGTCCAGGCCCACAGGCCACCCCTCCCAACCCATCCTTGCCCTTGCTGGGCCAATGAGAGGCCAGGGCTTCAGGTGGCAAGCCCAGGCCCCACTCTCTCCCAGGCAGGAGGGGCCCAAAGGCAGGTGCAGAGGCCGGGAGGTTAATGCAGCCTCTGCTCCTGCAGCCATGTCCCCAGGCTCTATGGCCGCCCATGCCCCCAGGCTCTGTGGCCGCCCATGTCCCCAGGCTCTGTGGCCGCCCATGTCCCCAGGCTCTGTGGCCGCCCATGTCCCCAGGCTCTGTGGCCGCCCATGTCCCCAGGCTCTGTGGCCGCCCATGTCCCCAGGCTCTGTGGCCGCCCATGTCCCCAGGCTCTGTGGCCGCCCATGTCCCCAGGCTCTGTGGCCGCCCATGTCCCCAGGCTCTGTGGCCGCCCATGTCCCCAGGCTCTGTGGCCGCCCATGTCCCCAGGCTCTGTGGCCGCCCATGTCCCCAGGCTCTGTGGCCGCCCATGTCCCCAGGCTCTGTGGCCGCCCATGTCCCCAGGCTCTGTGGCCGCCCATGTTCCCCAGGCTTGTGGCCGCCCATGTCCCCAGGCTCTGTGGCCGCCCATGTCCCCAGGCTCTGTGGCCGCCCATGTCCCCAAGTTCTGTGGCCACTGGGGCCTTTGCCAGGGGAGCCAGTGGGTGCAGCCTCCCTCTGCCCTCCCTCATTTTCACTCCTGGCGACTGAGGGGGTATAGGTGCCGCAGAAAGGAAACAGCACAGGCCAGGCCAGCTCCTGCGGCTCCCTGGCCTGCGATGAGAGAATTTGGCTAAAATGTCCCCTCTCCCTCTGCTTCCACCCAGAGCACACCTGCCTCTCACCATGAGTCTCGACCTCCACTACCAGCAGCTGAGCGATGCCCGGTGGACGGAGCTCCTGCCTCTCATGCAGCAGTACCAGGTGGTCAGGTACTTGCCAGGGCCCCTGGGGGTGGCCGCTGTGCCCCGAGGGCCTGGTGTGCCCGGAAGTCCTCTCCTTACTGGGTGCACAGTGTACACTGACTTCCACACGGGGTGAAATGTTCTTGTAATTTTCACCAAACATTTAAAAATGTAAATCCATTCCTGGCTCGAGCCAGTGGGTGGGACTTGGCGGGTGGGCAGAGCAGCTGGCGGGGTCTCTGCCTCCGCCCCTTGGCCCCTTCCTCCGTCCGGGACAGCCACTCGGTTGGCTACATGGAGGTGCTGCCCGCCCCGCCCACTGTCAGGTTCTTGAGCCCAGCAGCCCCTCGGGCCTCACAAGCTGGCAGGTGCCTGCTGGGTGTCTCTCTAACTAGTTTACATAGGTCTTGGTTCACAGAAGGGTGATGAAGATGGTTTTGGGGTCCATTGCCCTTGAAGTCAGCGCCCAGGGGCCCTGGTCACATGTGGAGCCAGCACGGCCACCTCGACTCCGTCACGGCTTTCCCACTAGGCCCTTCCCTGTCCCGGTCAGTGCAGGGTCCCGGGTGGCATATGGCCCTCCCGACTGGGACAGTCCCTCTGTCCCTCCTTGTCCGTCTGCCTGCTGCATCGGCTCAGGTCTGGAGAGGGTCCCTGTGATGTGTTCTCATGGCTGAGTCACATGGTTTTGGCAACAAGACACAGAAAGGATGAGGCGGAGTCCTGCTGGCATATGGTGTGGAGTGTGTGGTTGCGCTGGCATCACGCGGTCACCTGGTCACTGCCCGCCTGTTCAGGTGGTGTCTGCCAGTTGTCCCCCGGGGCCACTGTTCCCCCGTGGTCATCGATAAGCAGCTGGGCGACGTGCCTGGCACTGCTCGCGGCCTGCTTCTGCGCAGTTTCCCCCCGACGCTGGCATCCCTCGGGGGATTGTGCCAGATGTCACGACGGGGCCTGGCTGCCCGGCCTTTGGTTTCTTTGCTCCTTGTACATTTGTGGGTGCCCCCGCCCCCCCCCGTGCTTATCGATGTCCGGGTCCTGCTTATGGTCTGGTTTCATGGTCCTCTTGCTGCTCAGGTCTCTCCCTGGCTGTGCCCTCTGAGGGGCTTGCTTTCTGGGAGGTGAGAGCAGCTTGACACGCTGACCCGCGCCCATGAGCGCATGGCACCCAGACCACACCCGCGTGCGTGCCAGTGTCTTCAACCCAGGTGTCCCAAGACGATCCACTCGCTTTTTCTGTTTCATTTAAAATGTCGAGGAGAAACCAAGATGGCGGCATAGGTAAACACCAGAGATTGCTGCCTCGCACAACCACTTCAAAAATACAACTAAAAGACTGAACGGACATCATCCAGAACCACAGGAAGGCTGGCTGAGTGGAAATTCTACAACTAGAAGGAAAGAGAAAAGCATACCGAGAATCAGAGGAGGCGCAGTGCGGAGGTGAAATACTAAGGTGCGGAGGTGCGTGCGGAGTGGGCTGGCGGCTGAGGGCGCGGTTGTCGTTTTCAATCTGGAGGGAGACTCAGGCTCTGAGCTCCAGTTCCGGGAGAGTCTCTAGGGACCCAGACTCATACGGGAGAAGCGGGACTGTCTGGCATCGGTCAGAACCCGAGGGCAGCTTTCTCTCCGAGGGGCTTGCAGCGATTAATGGGACACTGAGAAGCAGAG